ACTCTTCTCACTCTTTGAGGCGGGCAACGTCCAAGGCAATGTTGGCCCTTCCTGCAGGCATACTGGACAGTGTCGATCAAGCCATACGTACAGATGATGCACTCAGAATGACCGGATTGTTGTCACAGAGAAGCCCGAACGCAGAACATCCTCATGGAGGTCTCCCGCCCATCTTGACTCTAAATATTCTGCAAAGAGCGATATCTTGCAGCGCGAAAGCATGCATTGACCAGCTCCTGTCGATGATCGATACACTCGATGCGGGGGATGATATTAACAAGCGTAACTGCATACACCGCCTAGTCATCACTATTGGACGCTCCAAGTGTTCAGGAGATGGGGAGCCCACTACGGATGCTGTAAACATCGACACAACGAATTACATCAAGCCAGCCGCACCGCCTGTCCTACTTCCTCTATCATTTTCGACCAAGGAGCGCGATGGTATCAGCCAGCTGAGTAGGGACGACAAAGCTATCGTGCTGTTGGAATACCTTCTGGATCAGCTACGTCCACAGCAGCGGATTGCTATTGAGGCTAGAGATGTGTATGAGAGAATGCCGCTGCATTACGCTGCACAACATGGATGTGTCGCCATCTGTCAGATCATAGTCTCCCGCATCCAGGCCTGGGGACAATGCGAAGTTAGCCACGGTATTGATGCGCCTTTGTTGCAGGACGCCGACGGATATTCGCCGTTGCACTTAAGTGTCATTGGTGGTCACTCTCAAACCACAAGAACACTGCTTGAGACCGTAGACTGGAAGGATGCCAATGTTCGACAGGCAGCGGTACAGAAACATATAGCGAAGTCAGGAGAAGTCCTTGCTTTGGCTGTGAAGGCGGACTTTGTCGTTATTGTGAAGCTGCTTGTGGAAGCTGGGGTGGATCTCGACTTTCGAGATGACCAAGGCGAAACAGCTTTGCATGTCGCCGCTCGCTTCGGTCATACGGAATGCGCGAGGATCTTACTTGAGGACCACAAAGGTCAGAAGGCCGACATAGAGGTTGCTGAGAACTCGTTTGGCTGGACGCCCTTATTCGTCGCCTGCGTTGACGGTCACATCGACTTTGTCAAGATGTTAGTTGCGGCAAAAGCGGATTTGGAGAGGTTAGACACCTCCGGTTGGACAGCGAAAGAGCACGCAGCGCTGAGAGGTCATATGGCTATTGCAAAGGTCTTAGCAGACGTGACGGCCCTGCCTTCATCAACCGAGTTGGATCCGCTCGCCGTCATTCCTCTGAATGCTATCGCACCAAACAAGTCACTCGCAGAGAGGACGTCGAATGCAACGACTAATGGCAACGGCAATGGGACCTTGCGCAGGAGTGAGCCTGTCAAAACCTACGGGCATCGCTATCTGACAAGAGAAACAATGATCCTTGTTAGTCTTGGTACTATGGACACTCGGAAGGTTGTCGAAGCTGTGAACCTAGATCGAATCCCACTCGCCGACGCTCACTCCACTCAGCTCGACACTGCGCTATCCGTCGTCGTGTCCGCTAGCGAAGCAAACGGAGAGTCTTCGATCATTGACCTGCCTGTGCAAGACAACATTAGTACCGATCCTATCGTTTTCACCGCGCTCGATGCTACAAAAGTGAGACTGCTCTTCGACATAGTGCCAACCTATGCAGGATCCAACGATCAAAGAGTAGGCCGTGGTGTCGCAATGCTTTCAAGCATCAAGCCTAGCGTTGGCTCCAAACGCATCACTTTACAAGGAGATCTCGCTGTTCCCATTATGGCAGCAAGCACCCTTGAAGTCATCGGCTCCGTCAACTTCAACTTCCTAATCATCACACCTTTCACGCATCCTAACATGACTATTGCCGAGGACTTGACCTATTGGAAGAGTATGGCTTCAACCATGGTCATCGGCCATCGAGGCTTGGGCAAGAACACAGCTGCAAGAAATTCTCTGCAGCTCGGCGAGAATACCATCCAGTCGTTCATCGCAGCTGCCAACCTCGGAGCTCAATACATCGAGTTTGACGTCCAATTGACGAAAGACCATGTCCCAGTCATTTACCACGATTTTCTTGTCAGTGAAACCGGCATCGATGCTCCGGTGCACACCTTGACGCTTGAGCAATTTCTTCATGTCAATGACGACCGTCGTACCCCTCGCCCATCCCGACCTTCATCACCTGTCTCAGCGGCAGCGCGAGCCATCAACGGTTCGGACCCACGAAAGCACCGTTCAATGTCACTCGGCGACTTGACGAAAGACGCGACGTCAGATATGAGCGAGCGCATGAAAAATACCCGAGATTTCAAGGAGAAAGGCTTCAAAGCGAACAGCCGCGGCAACTTCATCCAAGCTCCCTTCACCACGCTGGAAGAGATGTTCATCAAGCTACCTGAGCACATCGGGTTTAACATCGAGATGAAGTACCCCATGCTGCACGAAAGCGAAGAGCAAGAGATGGACACCTACGCCGTCGAGCTCAACTCTTTCGTCGACGAAGTGCTCACCAAAGTATACGACCTGGGCAAGAAGCGAAATGTCATTTTCTCGAGCTTCAACCCGGACATTTGCCTCCTGCTATCCTTCAAGCAGCCATCGATACCCATCCTTTTCCTCACCGAAGCCGGCACCAGTCCCGTCGGTGACATTCGGGCCAGTAGTCTGCAAGAGGCCATCCGTTTCGCTTCGCGATGGAACCTCCTTGGGGTGGTATCGGCGGCGGAGCCTTTGGTCATTGCTCCACGATTGGTCAAGGTAGTTAAGGAGTCTGGGCTAGTTTGTGTGAGCTACGGCAGCTTAAATAATGATCCACAGAACGTAAAGGTAAGCATGTATCCAGTGGCAGACTTGGAAGAGATGCTAACAAAGACACAGCTGCAAGCGGACGAGGGAATCGATGCTGTCATTGTGGACAGCGTGCTTAAGATACGGAAGGGGTTAACCGTGGAGGAAAGCACGACAAAGGTAGTCGTTTGAGAAGCGTGCTGCCTTATTAGTAATTAGCGAAACCGTTTGTTGTGATGCAAAAGCATGGGATACCTTTGCCACCACGAAGAGCTGGTACGACAACAGAGTTGTTGCTCTCTAGGAGGAACGATGGGCGGCAGAAACAATTCCTTGCGATTAATACCTTGGGAGGATACGTTGAGACAAGAACAAGGCAGTGTGCTTCACTGCTACCACTTTTGCAATACGCTTCATTCAAGAAAACAAACCACCGAGGAACAACCCGCTCCAAACGTGATATTCCTACAGACTAAATCTCAGCCCAGCCGACGCCTCCTCTTTAGGCGTCTAGTACCCTGTTCAATAGCACCTTTAACATCCATGAACCTAGCGGCTAACATTGGCGCCTAGTAAACACCACTCCATTCCACTTTCCACCATTCCCGATCCGGAAGCTCAATGCCAAGCTTTTGTAACCGCAACTCCAACCCAAATGCAAGTTTCCCAAGTTTCTAGTAACCCGACAAAAGCCAAACAATTCAGACAACGAGAAAGGAAACACAGAATTCAGAGTTTCGATATGGGGGTCGAAGAAACGACGACGTTCGCTTTGAAATGATGCCCTCTTGGTACAAAGACCGCATATGAGTACCTAGCTTCGCACACTTTACACATTTACGGATAGATTCACTGGGGGACAATACCCGTCTCCGAACCCAGATCATTACCCTCCCGGCATCGCCTTCTCAACCCCGGTTCTCATGCGAGCAAATCTCTCGTTGAATACTCTCTTCGGGCCGATCCTTTGCCTGCCCTGTTCGACTGCTCGGCACCACCTGTCCTGGGAAAAGAGGCTTACGCGCGGCATGTTACGGTACCACAGAAGAGAAGGATGGAATGTGGCTGAAGGAGTTTCAATTCATGATTGAATACGCTCGTAAGCATGGTTGTACTCGGACCGAGGCTATGCAACATGCCGTGGAAAGAGAAAGAGATTTCGCCAAAAGACTCGGCCTGCCGACTTACTGAAGTGCTGCCTTTCAACGGCCCGGCCCAATGGCTTACGATATCGAATACGCCTTGAACGCAGGGGTCCGTCATCCAATCCTACGAACCAAACGCGACCGAAAGTGACGCCCTTCTATTTTGTGCAAGGGCAATGACCCAACCTTCAGTCCGCCATGCAGAGCTGTCAGCCAACAGCAATGGCAGCATTATCCAACTTGAATCACAAAGTAGCGCATACATTGAGGTAGCGCAGTCTGATACATTACTGAAGAATAGCAGGCGAGATGGAGGCCAGACAAGCGCAGCGGCGCACAGCCGTGCAGAGATCAGGGTCAATCGGCAGCTTTGCCACTATTCGGCATCCACTCTAGAGAGGTAATCGCGTGTGAAGTAGCCTTGTGGGCGACGGGCGTTTCAGAGAAGCTGAATTGCAGGCGGACTCATCCTTCCAGGGCAGACGCCGCGCAGTGACGACCCCGAGTGTGGGGGTGGTATGATGAAGGTTCAAGGGTTACAAAACCCGGCGGAATCATCTTGCGAGTACCATTGGTCACTGACCTGTCCCGCCTCAAACGGGGTAAGTTGACCCAGTGTCTCTTGCTAGGAGCTGTTCGAGAGCTGACACGACCAAGCAATGGGCCAAACTCTCGTGTGTTTCGTAATATGTAAGGTACTACCACTAGGCGCGTTCCTATATCTTGTCAGTCAAGAAAAGCTGGGTAGATACAGTATATACGGTCGCCTTGCTCACCTTTTGAAACCAAACGCTTGCATATCCCTCACTGCATTCGACGAAACGACAAGGTCTCGGAACAGCATCGAAACAGACCCTTCTGAATCATTGCCGCTGCCTAGACTGCACCAAGTTTCCATTGGACAGCTGAGACGGCGTCATTTATTCACGTGATACGACCCTGTGTTACAGAGATGTCTTCACATGACTACTTAACTTCGCTTTTCTCAACGTTCCGTCTTTCCTTCCTCAACATTACACACATCCCTAAAAGAAAATCCTCTACAACTCAACGTCCACAATCAACAGACCTCCATAACCACACTTTCCACGACGCGACCATGACATCGCCCAAGCCCGAACCCATGCCCCAAGGCTCACCGGTCCCCCCAACCGGTCCCCCACCAGAGCTTAGCCGTCTGAGACTCCCTGGAAACTATGTCTCCGCAAAACACCCGCAGGCCTTCCACCCCCCTGAAGAGCTCGTCATCATCGAAAGCGAATTCAACAACTACAAATCCGCCGGTCGCGTCAGCGACACCCCCGTCTACCGCGTTGTCGAAAAAGACGGCGAGTATGCAAGCTACGCGATTTACTACTTGCTTGAGAATGTGCAGACGAAGGAGGTGCCGGAGCAGTGGCGTGAGAAGGATGAGCTGAGGCTTTTTCCAGGCCAAATGATCACTGACATGTGGTGGGACCTTGACGAGAAGGGTCGGGTGGTGGCGAAGTGGATGGAAGACTGGGACGCAGAGAAGCTGGCTCGTGGTGATGATGGCGAGACCTTCGGGGACGAAGAGACACTGCGTCGAGATAATGATGAGAACGAGAGGCAGGCGGTGAGGCGAAGCTGATCAGTGTGTCTGCGCGTGGTCTCGAAGGATTACTTCTCTATCTCATCTCGGCCCGCTTGGCTGGCTGAGGGCCCTGGGATTTTACCGGCGTACATGGTTTTGTATGTCAAGGCCGAGCGAGTCAAAGGATCCTCGTAAAACATCCAGATAGGGAGAAACGCCAGATAGTGGCCAACGAAATGTATCAGTGGCAAGAACAGACTTTTGAAATGCCATTCAATTATCTTATATGACAGCCATAATCTCATACCCCTGCGCCAAGACACTCCCAAACGCCCAAACGAAGAGCCCCTTGAAACCCTGCCCTAGGACTCCAAAGATGGTATCAATCCAGATGTCGTCGCCTGATCCAACAAGGAAATGTAGCCATGCAACAATGTTAAAGGTCCGATATCGAGACCTTCGACCCTCCGACAACTTAGTACCCGCTGAAACACCTCAGACATGGTGTCGACTTCACCTAAGCCCACAAGGTGAAACATGCGAAACGAAGGCTAAAATAAAAATTGAAAAATATGCTCCATCACCCTTAGGCTGCCTAACTCGAAGCTTGGTTGCCCATATATGATACAGTATTAAGCCTAAAAGGCGAATGTCATGAGGCGACCGCTTAGAGCAATTGGACGACACGACTCCGTACCCTCAGACCGCCTGCTGTCGTAGCTGGAAGTTTCGGATATCCGACCGTTATGGCTGGCCGAATCGGACTCCGGAGACCGAAACACGGGGTCAAGAATCAGGCTGTGCGTGCAACGCCGTGGATCAGGCGAACGTCGCAGGATGTATAAAAGGCATCGCTACCTCTCTCTTCACTTGACTTCTTCATATCCAGACACAACTATCCCCGATAGATCAGCCGCTCAAAGACACAGACTCGCATCTTTACTCCATCCATCGCCACCATCAGCGGGCTAGTAATTTCGAGACACAGAGACACAGGCGGCCAAACTTGCAACGCACACCGTCTGGGATACGCGTCATTGCACTCACTACTGACATTTCTCATCCACCATGTCCTCGCACACGTCAGAAGAAGACGGCAAACCGGGCGATGCCTACGGAAAACCCCATGGGACAGGCGACACGGTCGCCAAGTACGTCTCCCGTCTCTACCTATTTCCCGTAATTGCTGCTTAGAAACATTTGTGAAAGTAGCGAAGCTTGTACCGGGGGAAATCGTGCTTGGTGAGTAACCACACCACTACCGCTCATTCATGCGGTCTTCAGGACTAACATTTGATCATCAGCACGGATGAGGTGCCAAATCGGAGATGCCGTACTCTACGTCGTTCAGATGGTCCCGTTGGGGCGCATCAACAGCTTATCAGTCCTAGGGCCATACCCCTCGAAGTACAACTTGATCTTCGCTCAGCTTGCAATCAGAGAACAAAGTGACACAGACAATGTGAAGAGAAGGGAGGAGAACAAGAAGAAGTTGGACGAGGATGTGAAAATGATGGAGGACAAGAACAAGGAGGCAGCTGAGGAGGACGAGAACGACTGGGAGAACGTGAAGTATTCGGAGGACAAGGAAGATGAAGAGGAAACAGGCCGATCGGGCGCATGAAGTGGGCAAGAAGTAACGAGAAGAAAAGCGCCCCGAGCGTCTACATTGTCCAAAGCAGCACCACAGCAAAAGAAGCACCGAGTCAGAAACGAAGATAGCAGCGACGATAGCAAATGAAACCCAACATCCACACGCACAAAGCACCCCAATACAAGACATTCAAGCCCACCGCCATCCAAGCCTCACCGCAGTCCCTAAGCCCAACACGTGCCGAAAACACGCTTACTGCGTGAAAGTCAGCCGCGGCTCAGCGAAAACGCCGTACGGAGAAGTATCAGTCTTGAGCGCTGATGTCTCCGAACTTACATATTCTAGCACACGTTCAGTACCAGCCAAAGCACCGCTGACCAGGAGAAAACCTTTGTCCCCCACACTCTCAACCCTCCATCCGGTTCTGGCGTCCAAACATCTCATCATCCATGCCACCCCACTGCAAGAAGTGCCAATCCTCCTCGTAGAAGCAGCCAGCACAACACGTATCGTCGGCCGGAACAGCACGAGCCACCCGATCCACACGGCCACAACTCCTGCATCGCCATTTCAGTCCGGTGGTCCGACCTTCGCCCTCCGATGCCGATCTTGCTCGCACCCACGGACCGGGAAGGTGGTGCTGTTACAGGGCTTGAGTGGGGGACGAATCAAACAATGAAGCAGCATGTGTAGCCGATTCCGTGAATATTGAGCGCAATGCATGAAGAAAGAGGTGGGAAGAAGATCCGGGCGATCCCAGATGGGTTTCTGAAGAAAGGGCAAGATACCAGGACTACGGGACGTTTGTATCCATTTGGTTATGGTTCTGAAGGACGGCCTGGTGGAGGAAAGATATGGATGCTTACAGTAGTAGGCAGCTCTTCATCGGACCATGAAAACGAACGCCCACATGACGAGATGGCGAGTGTGTGTTTCATAGACGTCATGGTAATCTCACGGCACTCAAGTGCAGGAAACTTGGCATTGATTGGATATGCAGGAGTGGTCTAGACGGGGTACTGTGTCGACGAAGGGGCCTTGTCCTTTGCGGTAAACTCCAAAGGACTTTCGCCGCTGCGACGGCCACTTTCTCAGGGTCCGCATCTACCGGCCCGCCCGACACATTGGGTCTGATCAACGTTGTCGAACACTTCGGACCAGGAGAGTCATACACGTATCGCACATTTCAAATAGAGAATTGCCGGTGAGCTGAACTGCGAAAGCTTCGTACGAAAGGATATGAGAACCTTGCAGCGGGCTACTCTTCTTTTAGGTGAGTCTGTATTGCATGGTGTTCTCCCGCTATGTAGTTGAGAGCTATGCACAGAGCACCGCTGGACCAACGATGGCGGATCCGAAGTGTATTCAAATGATCATGGCAAAATCTTTCCGCAGGTGTTACCAGTCATGGCCAATTCTCATCTCTTCCGTCCTTTCGTAGCCTCCTTCCTCCTGACTTTATCTATTGTTCTCTGCAAGGCGCTCTTAACAGGTCCCTTGCCAAACTCTGTAATGTCGTAATACGTTGGCGCGATATCCTGCATCAAATCAGCAAATCGACCACAAGCGCGGGCTTAAGCCTAGAAGTAGACTCACCATTAACCACTCCGGCTTTACAGTAGTCACAGTCCGAATGTAATTCTTGGTCGTAAGCACGAACTCATTGTAAAGCAACCAATCGCTTTCCGTCTGCAGTACTGTGCTCGGATGCAAGATCACATTCTGGTTGTCCTTCACGGTCACATACGTCTTGCTGTTGCCCTCTTTCATTGCGACCTGCATAAAGAAGCCGGCAACGAGCGCTCGTCGGATATTTGTGTAGTAGTTCTTGTCTTCAAAGGGAGCGCTGACAAGCTCTATCTCATGCGTTTCCATAATCCGCTTGAGCTGCTGGCGTACATTATCGGCAGATTGGAGAGCTCGCAAAGAGACGAAATGATCGTGGCACCACTGCTTGGGATTGGCTTGTGCTTCTGGTCCTTTGAAAGCGTGATAGACGTTGAGCATAGTTAGATGATCGCCGTCCGGGTGCGCAAAGAGAGATTTCATCTCATCCGCGCGTTTGCGGGCCGAAGCGGGGCGGACGAAGACTTGGGGCACTGAGAGGAGAGCGGTAAGAGACAGCACTTCGTTGGAGCAGTAGAATTCGGGGGATGAGATGAGCATGACTGCGAGGGTGGGATCCAAGGGAAATTCGGAGGCAAGCTTCCCGAGCGCGGTCAGGTTTCCCTCGTCGTCAAGGCAAGCGAGGTAGTTGAGCTCTTCGAGAGCGCGCATTAGTGTTTCGGGCGCGGGAGGATCCATGAGATCAAAGTGGACAAGGTCATCAATACCGAGCTTCTTGAGGTCCAGAACTGTAGAGGACAGATTTGAGCGAAGAACTTCAGGGTGAGTGGTTTCGATGAGCTCTTTCTTGAATGCGCCTTCAGTATATAGCCGAAAGCACTTTCCGGGTCGTGTTCGACCGGCTCGACCAGCTCGCTGTTGGGCAGACGCCCTCGAGATGGGAGATATAAGGAGTGACTCGACTCGGATACGAGGGTTGTAGATCTTTTGCTTGCTAAACCCTGGATCTACAACGTAGACTATTCCGTCAATGGTGAGAGATGTCTCGGCAATGTTTGTCGAGACGATGCATTTCCGGCCAGGCCTACCGCCCTTCTTACTTGGTGGTGGGGCGGGATCAAAAATCTTTTGCTGCTGATTAGGAGGCAAGGTCCCGTACAAAGGATAGACTGTTAAGGGGCCTGCATCCGCCTCTCTGATCATCTCATCTGCTTCAAGCCTGATCTTACGACACGCATCTTCAATTTCTTCTTCGCCCGTAAGGAACAATAGGATGTCGCCTTCCGGTTCGCTGGCGTGTATCTGCAATACTGTTCGTAGCGAAGCCTCAACGTAATCTCGCTCCGGTTCCGGTGTATAGAAGATCTCGACAGGATGCGTACGTCCAGGCACTGCCAATAAAGGCGCATCGTTGAAGTAGCTTTGAAACTTCTGGGCGTCCAGAGTAGCAGACATGATGACGATCTTCAAATCCGGCCTTCGCTGTGCAACTTCCTTGAGTAGCCCCATTAGAGTATCCGTTGCAAGTGTACGTTCGTGCGCTTCATCCAAAATGATCGTGCTGTATCGGTTTAAATTATTGTCGTTCATTGCTTCCCGGAGCAGCATACCGTCCGTCATGTACTTCAGGATAGTCTTCTGGCTCGTCACATCCTCGAACCGGATGTTATAGCCCACTTCATCTCCCAGCGTGACATCCATCTCATTTGCTACACGCTGGGCCACTGACATCGCTGCCACTCGGCGAGGCTGCGTGCATGCCACCAGCTTGCGCTGAATGTGTGGTTGATCATCGAACAAGACGAACTGAGGTATTTGAGTAGTCTTCCCGGAACCAGTTTCCCCTACAAATACGAGGAATTGAGACTTTTGATACATCTGTAAGAACTCGTCCCTGTGCATGGTGTCAGTATGTAGCCTTTCGGTACCGGATCTCACATCACACACCTTTGCTGATGAACAGGCAGATTCCGCCTAGTCTTGAGGATACTGAAGTATTGTGACGACAGAGGCTGGCCACTGAATGGATTGTTGGGCCCATCTTCTGCGTTCTTGGCCATCGCCGCGGTAGACTTATGCCTCGGGAATCGGGCCAAACTCGAAGCATTCGACACTCCGTTCATCCTGTTCGTTGGGCGCCCGTAGCCGTTGCTGTAGCCGTTGTAACTACCTTCATCTTCCGCCGGCTCCTCGTATCTGTGAGCAAGATACGGATTCGCTCTCGGGTCCAGCTCTTTCTTCTTTGGTACAGGCTCTTCATGTTGCCGTGCTATGTATGGATCCGACGCCTCCTCTGCGTCCTCCTCTTTCTTCCTCTTTCTCTTGCTGGTCTTTTCTACCAATTGGTCTATTCCCTCTGTGTGTCGGCTCGGCCTGGCATCCAGGTCCTCCTTCTTGGGCTTGACCTCAGTGGGCTGAGCAAAATTTCCAACCTTGACGCCTCCGTCATCGTCGCTTTCTGCACTGTTTCTAGAATCCGTGTCCTCCATCTTTCGACGCTTAAAGCGGCCTTGACCTTGTAAGTCTGGTCTGCGATCCATGGCGAAAGAATGATAGAGTTTGCTAATTTAAAGTGCAGAGTTGGTGCATATTACTCCGTCAACTATTTTCTGTAAGGCTGAACTCGGCCTGATATCGCGCTAGTCCTGACTGGAATTGCGGCTAATAAGGGTCCAATCTGCTGCGAAGGCAAGGCACCCAGGCACATCTGCTGCCTCTCCTTGATCTCTGTTGTCTTTTGTTCTTTGTTCTTTGGTATGTGAGGATAATGCTTTAGCTTCTACGTAGATGATCACCGTCTTACTTCACGTTCTACTATCGCGAATCACTCCAATTGTCATCTCTTCACTCCAGCAGGATGGATTCACCAGCAGAAGATTGGACCCCCACCTTTTGGATTGGACACCATGACAGCAAACGCGTACGAGTCACTCCAGAAGTCCTGGAGCAAGCCCATGCTTGTAATGTGAGTTGTCGAATAACAGATCCGGCATGATGAGAAATTAATCAATTCCCAGTATGACATGCTTACTAGCCCTATCACAACTCCAAGTTTTCACACACGAGTGCTTACCCTCGTATCCACTCACATCGCGGAGCTGGAGAAGAACCCAGGCACCGACTTGTCGGTACCGATTATACCTTCTCTGTCGCCAGTTGACACACCATTGGCTCCGGGCGCGACCGTATCCCATCTGCTCGCCGTGGTGAGCCCTTGGATCGATCTTTGTTCGCCAGATCCGGTGATATACTGCCTGTCTCGTCAAGTCCTGGAATTAGAAGTGGCATACGCAGCATTTTGTGGAATAGGAAACATAATACTACCCAGTCCAAAGTTGCATCACAGCAAGCTCCATGGCGAAGGCGTGACACAATACGCCTACGCCGTCCAGGAAGCTTTGAAGATCGCACAATACATACAACTCTCTATAATGCTACCCATGATGGACGATTCTGAGCAAGACAGCGACGAAGTCGAGGGAAGTTTGGCCAAGGAAGCAAGAGCAAAACACATGGGACTCTCAGAGGGGCACAGCAACAGAGGCTCCATGGAATCTACGAGAGGAGCAGTGAGAGAATCGGATCAGAATGATGATGGAGCAAACGTCAGGCGTAAGAGGTCTACGAGGTTTGACTTCTTCGGCACATGGGATGCATGGAACGTCATAAGGACGCTATGTACATACAATGCTAGGCTTTTCGTAGGTAAGAATAGAAACACATCTTCATTTCCATCGCCTACACCCTTCCTACGGAATTTCCGTATTGCTAGCTCTCATGGCCGGCAGTGTTGGATTTTGGAGCCTTGTGGTGATCACGTGGCATCTTTCCTGAGGTACCTACTTCCCATATGGTCTCTTATAACGTCAGCCAGGCCTTGAGAACAAGCGGCTGCTAATAATGAACATAGCTCTCTCGGTGCCATCGCATCTCCCACCTCTCAGCGTCCGCTCTCGGTGGCACTCAGAGCCCTTGCGCCTCATTTGTTTCAGTGAGAAGACTTTCTTTCAGAATGCCACAGGCCATCCCGCCTTCACTCACAGCCATCAAGAACTACTGACCCAGTACATGCGCATCCGCAATGCTCCGTGGATCCTCCTCGTGGACGTTGGTTCCATGCCTGCACCCGACAGGCCCGAACCCAGCACAACTGTGGCCAATGGCTGGCAACCGTCTAGCGAAGCAGCTGGGCCCTTCGCATCCGCACCCACGCCTGCCGAAGCAAGCCAGATCTGGCGACAAGACAGCAGGAAGTCCGAGAATGTCGGACCAACGCCTCATCTCAATTACCTCCGCTATCTCCAGCGCAAGCAGCCTCCCAAGACGCTGCTCCAGCGCTTCGGTGCCGGCTATCAAGACTATCTACAATCACCTCTGCAGCCATTAACCGACAATTTGGAAAGCATCACATACGAAGTTTTTGAGAAAGACCCTGTCAAGTATGACTTGTACTATCAAGCCATCGCCCAGGCTCTGATTGACTGGCGCGAGCAAGGCAAGCCTGCTTCAGGGCCGGAGGGCCGAGTCGTTGTGGCTGTTGTGGGCGCTGGACGGGGTCCACTGGTCACGAAAGCACTGCTAGCTAGCGAGAGCGAGGGTGTGCCGATCGACATGTGGGCCGTGGAGAAGAATCCAAACGCTTTCGTGCTGTTGCAACGACATAATGAAGAAAGATGGAGCAATTGCGTCAATCTTGTCAAGTCGGATATGCGATCTTGGAAAGGACCGCTACGAGAAACTGCAACCCAACCCTCCGGCTATACAGGACAGTGGCCGCCACCTCGCGATGCAAACGGTAGCATAGTCATTAGCCAGAACCAATTCTCTGCCGTAGCCTCCACCACTGACCGAACAGTAAGCCACGGCCCCATCGACATCCTCATCTCCGAACTCCTGGGCTCCTTCGCCGACAACGAGCTCTCACCGGAATGCCTCGACGGCATCCTCCCTCTGCTAAACCCCACTCACGGAATCTCAATCCCCGCCTCCTACACAGCCTATCTTACCCCCATCGCGGCTCCTAAGCTCCACGCCGATATCCTAGCCCGTACAATGACTGACAAAGAAGCGCCGAACACACCTTACGTGGTGATGTTACACGCAATCGACTATCTCTCCACGACCTCGCGTCCCAGTACGACTTCATCCGCTACGGATAGCTCCGCAATACCGACTCCTGTGCCCAACGTCCTCCCCGTCTGGTCATTTAGCCACGGTCCTATGGAACCGCTTCCTGCGTCTTCCGAAAATACTCACAACACGCGGCAGGCTCGTCTCAGTTTCAATCTGCGAGATCGGGCTGTCTGTCACGGGCTTGCGGGATACTTTGAAGCGACGCTGTATCCGGGGGTTGAGCTGAGTACAAATCCGCTCAATATGGATGAGAAGAGCCCGGAGATGATGAGTTGGTTCCCGATCTTCTTCCCACTGAAAGTAAGTCTTCCCCCACGCCCCCCCCCTCCCCTCCTCTCCCACCCTTCTCCTGGCCCCCCTGTTCCTAGGTACGCTGACGTGAGTACATAGACACCGCTCTACACCCCCGATGCCTCCACCCTTACCGTCTCCATCTTCCGCGCTACGGACAACAGGAAGGTGTGGTACGAATGGATGGTTGAAGCTTGGTCGAGCCTGGTGGGTGGCAGCGTTGGGGGTGGCAGCGAGAGGAGGAAGATTAGACTAGGGGTCAGTGAGGTGGGGAGTTCGAAGGAGGGAGGATGTATGATGTGATGTTAATGAGATCCTCGAAGGCAAGATGCGACTAACGGCCGATGTATGCTCACGTTGTCATGAGGTTAGATGAAAAAGGGAATGTCTGATTCTGAAAATCTTCTATTATGGTGTCTTCTTGATTCAAAGATCCAGAAATTCAACTGTCCCTCCTAGCATGCTTCCTTGGCTCGCTAACCGCTCTTTTGCTATGATGCCTTGCTGAAAACACAGCGCTGGATTTCATCCAATTCCATACTCAATAAATCTTGCTGCTTTTGATACTGAGAAGCTGCTGCTGCCTGCGTTTTGAAAGCCTGGAAATAGTACCGAGCCGTTGCAGCCTGAACGGCTGCTGTAAAGCAAGCCGCTAGTATTTGGTCAGTAATGGGATGCGAAATAGATAGGCATCGAAGGGACGAACTGCACTCATAGCGCTTAAGGACGCGCCTATCGATAGACATCAGCAATCTATCGAACCTTCAAGGATATTGCCCGTCTGGCTGGGTCGCTTACACAGTTTCTGTATCCATACAGTCACTGCATCCTTCAGCAGTGTCACATTGCTCAGGCATGGACTTGACCGCGTGTCCGCATTTGAAGTAGTATTGGTGTTGATTCACATCCTCGCTGAAGCCGTGTCAGTCACAAAGCAAGCGACACATTGTTTGAAGGACGTACTTTGGTATTCTGGGTATGCGAGTGTATAAGTCTCTTTGGCTGAATGAACAATACGTGTGTCTGTGCGTCCGCGTCTCGATGTGGCTGATCTGTTGGGGATTGTAATGAAGGATTCTAATGAAGTATGACTATCAATGTCAGAGCGAGATATGCCCTTTATATACATCTTGAAGTGGTCGCCCGATGGGAGGAAAAATTCCTCAGCGTATCATGTTTCCGTCACTGACACAGGGCAAAGGCAGTCGTTTGGGCCTTTCGCGCCACCCAGGCGGGCCACCATAGAGCAAGAAGCAATGACGTCCGATCAATTTACACTTTTCTCCCTAGTTGTTGCTCTGGTTGATGAGGCGACTAGGTCTGTCCAGGGCGCTGTTGTGCCCAAGGGGATCAGTTGCTACCTTAATCCATTTCATGTTTGAAACCCGTCCGCCACCAAGGCTGGCTGTTAAGATGTAAGAAGTCACAGCACTCGATTGTTTCAAGACTGACTCTGTATCAGCGACGATACCTGCATCGGTGTCAGACCTGAGACCCGTCCTAACCATCCCCCTCGAACTGCCCTTTCTCCAGTCTTAAACATTTAACCTCCCATCAGCTCCACTACACGCAACCAGTCTTCGATCCAGGCTAATCGGCATATCCACCGCATCACCATCCGCCCAATAGCTATGGAATCTCTTCTTCCAATTCTATTTGCCAACGAGGTAGAAGGCGACCCTGTGATCGGCCATGGAGCGCCATTTTGTGCGACGCTGCGCATTGCGACAGGTTATTACTAAGAAGTATTCGCAAAGCATCGTCAGCAGGGAGGTCGCAAGACATGACCGCGCAATTATCAGTGTTGCGTAGCTAGAATAGGAGAACGGAAAGCGGTGGAAGCCAAAACAGTGACACCAGGCGTTCCTTCGTAGAGTTTGAGCCGCGATAGAGAAGATTAAACAAGAGACTACTTCTCAAAAGTGCTGGTCTTGAAACGTCGCAGACTCATTTCAAGCCTTTTCGAGGAAAGGCAGTCTAAGTCCAAGTGATTCGTGGCAGATATTCCACATAGTTTCGCTTGAAGGACTTGTGTCGTTGCATAGGAGGAACGAAGCAGACATTTCCAACCCCGTAGTTGAGTCTTTTCCAGGCAGCGATTCTTTCTGCTCTACCGGGCTGTCCAAACCAGCACCTATCTCCGAAAAGCATTCATCATGTCACACAATGCCGGTTCCCACGATTGCATGCAGGTGTCCCTGTCTGAGCACCCAACTCAGTACTCATAGCATCCGTCGCCTGCAAGATCATCTTCCCACCTACTCCCCCACTCCCAATTTTTACCTCCGCCGTCGGGGTTATTGCCCACACCTGAAACTCACTGGTCCAAAACGCATTGTATTGCGTCATGTACTCCCCAATGCCCCTTAGTGTATTTGCCAAATCCTGATACGTGTGCGCCCTGCCGACGGTTGGATTGAGGTCCTGGACGTGTATGAAGGAGTCTTTTTGGTAATAGAAGGTGCTGAGACCGGGAATCATCTCGGCAGGGTTGGTGCCGAATATTTTCGAGAAGCCTTCGATGACGCACATGAGGACGTCTTCGCGGGGGATGGAGGGTGCTTGATGCCAGAAGTCTATTGCTAGCTGGGTGTCGGTGATGTAGAAGCGTCGGGCCGCTTTGGCAATCGAGCTAGATGTGGAACGTCTGCGTTACTTGGGCGGGTATATTGGAGACAGTGGTGGACACTCACGCGTTGAGAGATGTAGTCGGAAATGAAGGATATCTCAAGCTAGATGGTAAGCCTATGTCCTGGTTGTTGGAGGACTGTGGCGATGCTGCCCCGCAAACTGCAAGCAATTGGAGGAACGAGATGAACGAGAAAAACCTTGGCTTATGCATGCTGAATCTTGAACGTGGACTGAGGAAGACAGCGTGGACCCAAGAATGCCAAGAGAGTATTAGAGCAGTAGTATGCAGGAATGAGGTTTTCAATGGTATATGGATAGATTTGAATTTTTATCCCGAGTGTCTGGGGTCTCCTCAATTGTCAAACATGGAGACGCGACTTGCGCTCAGCGCATGGAGTGTCGCGCAAACGGGGTTAACTATGGCCTATCCATTCTTCGCTTTTGCAGAATCTTACGTACTCTAAGACGGTGTGCTGCCATACTGAGCCTTATACATGTAGCCAGTCGAGTCTGGCATCCAAGAGGTCCTTCGGCCTGCTATGGTAACGCTGCCCACCACCATGTACTGTGTAGATGTCGGGCCCAGCCCCGCGGCCTACGCAGTTCTGCTTAGCTCATCCCATTCCCCTGATCATGACTTCGCCGTAGTGTTGGCTTGTGCTTGTGACGTTGCCTTCGAAGATGCTTTCTCCTCGGACTGTGTAGATCCCTCTTCTATGGCGTTGACTTCGAGAAAATGGTAGAGAACGATGAGGAGCATAGATAGGGAGCCAAGGAAGATGGCGAGTGTGTAAAGATCGTCGTCGGAAATCATGGTGGAGAAAAGAGCGTTCGAGTGGCTGGAGGTGCTTGGAGAAGGGAAATTGAAGCTTGGGACGGTATTAGCAGCAATTTACTTCGTGGCATGGGTGAGTCTCACAACCGTAGGTCTGGTTCAAGCCACTTCACAGTAGGATACGGATCTGGGTGATTACCCTATTATGACCTTGTTATTGGAGTTTTGGTAGATGGAGGAGAGAAAGAGTAGGTATAGCTGTCAGTAAACTGCCAGCCGGACTACGGCGTCCTGGAGCTTGCCTTTAGAAACTCTATGGCACACCGTAGCTGATCGGTCAGCCCTACAAGGATTCTACAGTTTCCCACCACTGTGACTTTCTCCGCGCCTTCAGCTGTCATATCGACTACTTCTAATACACAGCGAGAAGCGATCTTTTGGAGACCAAGATATCTGCTACCAAACCATGATTGTGCCTGCTTTCTGAATCTCCCAATTTACTCTGCTCCCTCCCCTTCCTAATCGTTCACGTCAACCCTCTGTTTATCTCCATCTTCAACTATGCCTCCCAAAAAAGAGGAGAAGAAGGCCAAGCCTTCGTCGACGAAGGTTGTTGCAGACAAGGCGAGCATTTGCCCCTATTACCCGCCTTGGAGACCTTACTGACGCTTATCTTCTAGACCTTTGGCATGAAAAACGTGAGCCGAGCCAGCGAAGCCCTCCTCTCCGTTTTGATACAGCATCCATTGACTTATCCTTGCCGCGATTTGCGATACTGATGGAAGAGTAACCACAGAAAAAAGGAGCCCAAGCCCAAAAGCAAATTCAACAGATCCAAACCCAAGCCGCCCAAGCCAAAACTCCCGATCAGAAAAGAAAAGAGGCCGACAAAGCGCAACGAGAAAAGGACAAAGCCGCCTCAGAACAAGCAAAACGAGAAACAGCTGAGTTATTCAAGCCGGTGCAAGTACAAAAGGTGCCTTTTGGGGTGGATCCGAAGACGGTGGTGTGTACATTTTATAAGCAAGGAAACTGCGAGAAGGGAAAGAAGTGCAAATTCAGCCATGATCTGTCGGTTGAGAGGAAAGGAGAGAAGAAAAACCTTTATCAGGACACGCGGGAAGGGGAAGACGAGGCAAAGAAGAAAGATGATATGGCCGAGTGGGACGAAGGTCAGTCGCAACGTTCACAGGCTTTCGTACAGCTGCCCCCAGTAGCACTTGCTGATCCCGGTTCTGCAACCAGAGAAGTTAAGGCAAGTCGTCATGTCCAAACACGGCAACCCCAAAACCACCACCGACAAAGTCTGCAAATACTTCACCTCCGCGGTCGAAGAGGGCAAATACGGCTGGTTTTGGACGTGTCCCAACGGCGGTGACAAGTGCATGTATAAGCACTCTCTCCCACCGGGTTTTGTCTTGAAAACAAAAGAGCAGCGCGCCGCAGAGAAAGCCTTAATGGACAAATCGCCCTTGAAAACACTAACATTAGAAGACTTTTTGGAATCAGAAAGGCATAAACTTACCGGCACTCTCACGCCCGTAACACCAGAGAGTTTTGCCAAATGGAAGAAAGAGCGGCTGGATAAGAAAGCTGCAGAAGACGAGGCTCGGCAGGCGAAGGAAGCTACGGGAAGAGCCATGTTTGAGAAGGGAGGCTGGGAAGACAGTGAAGAGGAGGATGAAAGCGAAGAAGAGGATGAAAGCGAAGAAGAGGATGATGCAGAAGAGGATGATGCAGAAGACGAGGTAGATGAGTGGGACATGGAAAGCATGAGGCGAGAAACGGAGAGAATACGGGAGGAGAATGAGAAGAAGCGGTTGGAGGGCGTTGGAGGACAGGCGGCGATTGAGACTAATGGGGTAGATGGACAAGGAGAAGAAGAGGATGAGGCAGAGGGAGTCAAAGAAGTGGAGACTAATGGGCTAAACGGGCATGCTGATGATACATAATCCGCGAAGCACATAAATGGGTCATGAATCTGATTTAGCGGCATGTATGGCATTCTGTCGATAGCAGAGAGTAGGCGGAGCAGTCTAGTCGAGACGATTTTGGTAAGCATAACTTCACGCTGCTGCATAAAAACATCACGAAATTATCACTATCTTTTATCGAGAGTATACGCCATCAAAGGCGATATTGTACACACAATCGAGAGCATTCAGCCCTCCTTTAGAGCTTGCTGGGTACCTATGATGCACACATATCCCGAGTAGTAAGATATTGTCAGAGGATATCAAGCATGCTCGGAATGTCCTCGATATCCATATTGTGACAAGTTCTCCCGCCATAGCTAGACCCCCATATCCAAGCCTCAACCCGGCGGGATCAGAGGAATTTGGTTATTTTCCACGGTTTCCAGACCACAGATTCATGATCATCATAAAGTTACTCGCTCCGTAAGGTAATAGATACAATCAATGCCTTGCTTGCTGGCTCAGTGTGCGTTGAACTCTGCCCGCATTTTATCAAGCTCGTTGTCGTCCTGGACGGGCGAGACAGGCACAGCAGGGCCCTTGGCTTCAGATGTTGCTTGTCGATCGTGGATTTTGTTTTCGCTCAAGCGATCAGAAGACTCGACATCTACAAGGCATGTCAGCAAGAGGAGTGAGACGGTGATTGTAGCTATCGCAGCTTACCAGAAAGTTTCACACTAGCTTCCTGCAGAAGTTCCCATTTAGTCCTCAAGTGGTTGTTCCCTACGTGCTTGACCCATTCCTCATCTGTCTTGAACTTCAAACGCCTATGCTGGCCGTCTTCAGTCTGCGTGTTATTTGATATGGGGTTGCTGCTATCGGAGCAGTCAGCCCATAAACATGGGTAGACGTCATCTATAGCTCGGCGGTGTTTCCTGACGTGCTTTTTCAAGGTCTCGAGACTATGTAATTCTGCGGGACAATTCTCCCAACGACATCGATACATGGTGTATGAAGGCGCAGAAGAACGCGTACCGTTAGAAAGATCCTCTGCCTTTTTCGTTTCGCCTTTTTTCGCAGAAGCCTGAGGAGTAACAATGACAACACTTGGCGAGCGAGATGGAATGACGACAGCGATACCATCTGTTGGCGTCATGACACTTATGGAATGTCTAAGACCGCTTGGCGTAGACGGTGTGGCTGTGGGAATTGGAGCGCTCGGCTTTCCAACTGAGAAACTTCCAACTGGAGGTGTGTTGCCTACTATCTCTTTGTCTGATGTTTTTGCTTTTGCTGCCGAAGGTGTTTGACCCACGATGAGAGTCTTGGTCTTCTTCGGTATCCCCTTGTCGGGGCGAACCTGCTTATTCTTCGCGCCAGGCGGTCGCCCTTTACGCTTGGTTACGCTACCGGGAGTACTCGAGCTTGATGCGTTTAACGTTGTCAAATCCGTCTGCGCTGTGGAGGGGCTGTTATACGCAAATCGAGACAAGTCTGCCGTATTGGTGTTCATCATACTGCCCACGTTTTGAGCACGAGGTGGGCCTTCGGATGACTGTCGTTGTGGTGTATCCGCAGAACCAATTGGTTGTATTCCGGATCGGATGCCTGATTTCTTATATGGTCCTCTCTTATACGGTTTCCCCTTGGGATCAAGCGTGCGAGAATGAGCCTGATCGTCCTTGACTTTATCCCCGCCATCACCGGCAACCATCACGGCCAATGGAGCTGGACGTTGACGGGTGACAGCTACAGCGGGGACTACCTCGTCATCCGTATCAAAAGTTTCTGCGTTAGCCTCGCCTTCAGGATCTACAAGATCCCATCTGAATGTACTTAGATCCGACTCATAGTCAACAGCTTTAAATCTTTCCCTCAATCCATCAAGATGTGCATTGAGTGGAGCCATGGTCGGGTGTTTTCCAAGACTAAGTAAAAAATCTCTGGCTATTGTTTTGGGGTTGTAGGTAGAGCGTCGTAAAGCATCCCGTCGCTTGTAGATGGGCTCTACGATATCATAGGATTGTAGCAAAGCATCTCGTCCGGAGTACTTGTACTTGAAAGGCTTTGGCGTAGTTCTACCAATATTTTGTTGCCGCTGAGCGACAAGATTGAAGATGTTTTTGACGGACTTGTCGGTACCTGATGCAACCTCATTATCAATTCGAGGTTTCTGTTTATGGCGCTCGAGCTCTTCGTCGTCTGATAGCATTTGCGTCAGATCGACGATTTCTCCAAAACTTCTCTTTCGAGCCATCTCTCGTTTAGTCGGATGATGATGGACGAAGCCGTTTGGATGAATCGCTCCGTTCTGATCTAAGACTTGCCCATTGATCGGTCCTGGTTGCTGATAATGTGAGAACGGTAGGTGGGAGTGCAACGCTGGTTCGTTCGGGCGACCTTGAGCTGGGACACTAGGAAAATGGCGTGGCTCATTTATTGTCCAAGATGCAGGATTAACAAAGCGATAGTCTCGGGCAAATCCATTACTTCGATTTCCTTCGCTGGCTTGCTCGGGGTTTGGAGGGGTAGGAGCGTAAGGAGTAGCGTACCCATTCCGAGCCTGAAAAGCTGCCGCTGGAGGTACAGAATATGGCAGGGGCTGGGGTTTGTTCGTTTGAGCTGCTGATTCGTTAGAAGTCGCTTTGACGATGTTTGCGATAGAACCTGCAGTAGGCGTAGCTGAGGTAGCTTTGGTGGTAGTGGTATCGGTATTATCATTTGAAGCAGTAACAGTGGGGGTAGTATTAGTCGGCGTGGCACGAGTAGCACTGGCGGTACTGGACGACGCAGCATTAGCTGAAGTAGAGGCAGATCCTAGGTCAGGAACAGCCTTCAGCAAGACGCGAGCGAATTGACCCCGATCGATGACAAAGCCTCTATACTCAAGTATCTCACACATTTGATTATAGCTGGGGTTCTGGTCCAGAAGCTCATGAATCTCCTGGGTAGTTATGGGTTTCCCCTGGTTGGGGGGTGCTGATGTCAAAGCAATTCGTGCAGCTTCCGCCAAAGATTTCTTCTTGCTCTCAGGCCAATACGTCCCTCCGGGCTTCGGAGGCGGCGCTGGTTGAGCTGGCACAGGTTGAGAAGGGGGCGCTGTCAACGCTGTTACCTTTGTTGGGCGTGTCGAAGTTTTCGTCGTAGCTTGCGTACTGAACCCTGGTGTTTGCTGGGCTTTGACCACAGGTGACTTGGAGTTCTGCTGGAATTGTTGCATGGCCTGCTGCATTGACTGACTTCCAGGATCTGGAAATATCTGACCAACTTTTGGCGTGGGAATGGCAATCTCTGGTGGTACCGGACTCTCGTGATTTCCAACAAAGTGATTCCCAGCAGCCGGCTCAGTGGAGCCTTTTGGCGTGACCGATTTTCTGCTTGTAGGAACTTTCATACTACCGCCTCGTCTCCGACGCTGGGCAGGGAAACGCCCTCGATCAAAGCCTGGGGGGAACTCATCGCCCTCCGGTAAGTCAGATTCAGGTGGAAGTTGACTCTGCATCAGACTAGGACTGGGCAATTGGCCATTTACCACTATGGGCGATGTAGCCGAGCCTTGAAGCGATTGTGAAGGAGCGCGTTGAGGAGGCTGGCTCTGGCTCTCTTGTCAGTCGGATGTAATTGAATCATCTCAACGCGGGATCAATTATAAGAATGAAATGAGTTGAAAAGGAGGTGATCATTACTAACCTTTTTCACTTGCTCCCAGATTTGCGTGAACAGTGAAGGATCTTTAGCCTTGTAATCGCGCATTTTCTCGATCATCTGCTTCATCTCCAACTCCATCTGATCCTTCTTGGCTGAATCTGGTTCGGTCCCATCGATCTGTGGTGTAGCTGGCTTGGGTTGTGTCGCAGCAAATCTTGCAGCCTCCGCTTCCTCTGCAGCTTGTTTGGCGGCTGCAGCCTCCACAGCAGCAGCAGCTTGCCGCCGTGAGTACTCAAAATGATTGAAGACTTGAGAGGGATCAACGGTAGTGTACTGTGGTGCCGCAGGCGTTGCAGGCGTGCTAGCTTGGTCACGCCTTGTATCTATGGCAGGGGACTGACGAACTTCGTTGATTCGCTTTGCCGCCGTTTCCTTGGTTGATGCATATGCCGCTGCCTTTTCCTTGGTGGCACTTTCTACTGGCGGATTTGCAGTAGCTTGTGGAACTTGCGGTTTTTGAGTCGGTCCTTTGGAAACTTGAGAAGATGATTGTCGCTTGTCAGTCTGCGGGGTGTGCACTCTGGTCTGTTCTTTCCCACGTACGCTGCCACTACTCTTGCTCACTTGAGCTTGATTTGGCGTACTTTGAGTGGCCGGTAGCGTAGGTGAAGGTGCGGCTTGAGAGCCTGACACTGAATGGGATTGCTGCATTGCTTGGCCACTGAGCGGTCGTGATGGTTGAGAGTATTGATTTCTGAGCTGCTCAGTAGAGGATCGTGATTGTTGCGAGAATTGTGGTTGAGCTTGCGTATTGCTGCCGGCACTTGACCCGTGATACGCAACATTGTTCGTACTATAACCGAAGGAAGGAGAAGCCGTAGCTTGTTGCGATCTTGTATTCTCCTCTCTTGAAGAGCCACGACTGTCTCTCCGCTCATCGCCGGTCCGATACTGTATCTTTGGAGCAGAGCCGACTCCATAAGGACTCGCAGTGCCGTAATTTGCGTTACTTTGCTGCCGGTTGTTATTGGCCACCTGCTGTATTGCGCTATCCCGTCCCAGACTTGACGCATACGCAAGATTGCCCAGAGCCGTCGCCCCGTCAATTGACGCACGATCGTTCGCATTGGTATAGCCCGCCCTAAAGCCTTGAAGCCGCCCATTTCCGGCTCCGTCCATGTTCGTGTTCATGTTCCCATATCCTTGGCTATCGTATGCACCAGAAGAATTCCCAGCTGGTTGAGCAACGGAAGACTGTGAAGGTTGCTGATTATTCTGATAAGCACTCAGCGGTTGGAAGGAGTTTCCTGGTTGCCCAACATTTTGACCAGCGTTCTGAAGGGGGGTATGCCCTGCCGTTTGCTGCCAATAAGGAGAGTACTGGTTGTAGCCGTCATAGGACATTCCGGCGTGTGGAGCGGGCGTAGCGCCACTCCGAGTCTGCCTACCAATAACACGATACCTATGAAGGTAGGTACCAGCAGGCTCTGTTTTCTCAGCTCAGACAATTCAACTGTCGTGGGTGACGAAATGAGTTTGAAGGACTGAGTGGTGGGCCCGTCGGTTCTGGTCTTATCAGATTTACGTGTTTTTCTGTGTGACAAAGGATACCAGAGCAGGGGTTACGGCAGCCATCAGGAACGCTCCCGCCAGGTGTTGATGAAGTGTAGAGGTGCGCAGGCGCGAAACAAAGTGGACTTCGTCACGAAACTTGCGGCCGAAACCTCGGCATACTCGCTAAGCCTTACGCGACTAGCGTCCCATGTCTTGGCACACACATTTCTTTAAGCTTGAAGGTCTCACAACTTCATCTTACAGCGAGCGACGACAACGAATCACCGCCGCCATGACGAAGATCAACACTTGTAGGTCTCTTGAATGCTGTGGCTCTTAGGTACTGTGCTAACTTAACGTTCAAAAGCCCTCCACTCCTCGCGGAGAAAGTCCCGCAAAGCTCACTTCAGCGCCCCATCCAGCGTCCGCCGCGTCATCATGAGCGCACCTCTCAGCAAGGAACTACGAGAAAAACATAATGTATGCTTCGTAGAACACGTTGCTGCCTGTTCGCAGTCGTTAACCCTCCTTCTTACACAGGTCCGTGCCATTCCCATCCGCAAAGATGACGAAGTCACCATAACCCGCGGCTCCAACAAAGGCCGCGACGGCAAGGTCACCTCCGTCTACCGTCTCAAATACGTCATCCACGTTGAGCGAGTCACGAAAGAGAAGTCGAATGGGACAAGCGTACCGATGGGCATAGCGCCGAGCAAGGTCATGATTACGAAGTTGAAGATTGACAAGGATCGGGAGAACATACTTGAGAGAATCAAGGAGGGCAGAGAGGCGAAGGCGAAGAGAGGGTCCAAGGACGAGTGATGGAATTACGGTGGTAGTTTCACATGCAAGGAGTCTTTGTTTGCGTGAAGGATAGCAGGCTCAGGGTCTGGAGGCTGTCCACTGGCTTTGAAAATGGAAGCAATGCAAAATTCAGGTGCCATTACGCATTTTGTGACAGACAGCGGTCCCCCGTGTTCTTTTATGCGGCTTGATGCGTCCTTCACGTACATTTTCTCCCCTCTTCCCGGGCCAGGTCCCATTCTCCGCCTCCTTGTTCTTTTCTCGAATCTTTACTGCATCCTCCGTTTTCTTCCTAAGTGTTCGTGTGACAGGGCAATGCATCCGCGTGTCATATCTCCTCGCTAACCTCCGTCGATGGTTCTCGAGGTATACGTGCTCGCCAGAACAAAACTCAAATCCCCAAGATACAATCTAGGGACATCTCGCCTGCAGACCGATCCCTACGCTTTCAGGTGATGATCGGAAGCCGTTTGATGGCGAGGGACACTCCTCTCTTCACAGCAATTGATCCACTGCGTCATTGATATTATTTTGCAGTTTCGATTATCGTTGAGTATCTATGGACGATAATCCAGGTGTTCATACCTAGTATCCGATGGTAAAATAGCCAATGAGAAAACTAGTTGCCCAGAACCTCTAGCAAACGACGACTCCAGCATACCTTCAATGAACGATCCCGCACCAAATTTTGAGCAATTTTGATCAGTCTAGCTAATTCCTTGCCTGCCCAGGACTATTGTGGACTAGACGGTCAGTATTGAGTGACCTTGGCTGAACTTCGCGGCAAGCTTCCCACATGCCACTTTGTTCGTCATGGCTACCTGCTGATAGATGATTCATGTCTAGCCTAGGAGACCGAGACTAATTACGTCTTTCTTGACCAACAGGTTCGAACACATTTTCCTTAGATGAAAGATTAAAAATCGCAGAATTGCAAGTTCCTTTCCTTCAACCGCACCGATTCAGTTCCGTTGTTCAAATTTTCAAGCACTGAATTCGTCAGACGGAAGGCTCGTGTGAGATGTTTGGAAGTGTCTCTTGTAGCGGTGGGAGTTTGTACATCTAGTCCGGCAAACGTTCATGCGATTATCTCAGTTCGACTATCGACCAAGTCATAATAGCTGGGACGTCACAGGGAAGGCCAAGATCGACATTATGGTTAAAGGCTTGGACGAGTAGATACGGTATACATGCCGTGACAGCATAGCGCGCAAGCTCTGTATCCGGGAGATCAAAGATGTCTTGGACGCGCAACGAACGCTGCCTGAAGAAGTATTGGATCTCGTCCAAGGTAATTTTCTTGTGAAAGCTGTACAGGGTGCTCGAATCATCTTTCAAAGTCTCCCAGCAGGTATGTATCCACACAGGGTGCCCATGCTAGAAAGTAGTTGCTAGGCACGAAGAAGAGGCTGTATTGGCTATCTTCGGTCTGCTGCAAAGGTCTTTCCTCTGATCTTTATGGCAGGAGCGTTCTCCTTCGTCTGGAGGCGCTGATTCCCCCTCAGCAGCCACTCTTGCATAGCGAGGATGTCTGGTCAATGTCTCTTTCTTGCCGCGCCAAAATAAGTCCTCTGATACAGATAGGACAACCAATCCAGTGGACGGTCTCAATTTCAGCGCCTAAGGAGAATGATGAATGTTCTCATCGTACTCGTATTGGAAGAAGCATTGTTCTCGGATCTACAAGTACTCGCTGTGTTATTGATGAGTGAGCGTCTGTGTCACGAGGCTTGGCGCGGGGAAATCAGCCTTACAGATCCTACTCAATAAGGACGTCAGATGGTCAAACATCGTCTCCTCTCACGACCGCCGCCTCGCAGGATACTTATGACTAACGCAGTATGCTCAACTCAATCCTGTGGAAATCGCTGTACGTAAGAACGAGTTCAATTGAGTTTCAGACCCTCCAGGTCTACCAGTGGTAGCTCATCAATCCGAAGATAAGGAAGAACATGCGGGCATCCCGCGCTTTCTCACCGACTTCAGCCGAGATGCCTTTCTCAATTTGTGTCTGATTGCCAAGACTATCTTTGGCCTTCTGCATCATACTTTGTGATGAATGGCATGGCTCCTTGTGACGGCACATCCGACTGGCCTAGGCCCTGCCAACTGGCATCATTTTCGTGTGTTCGAGAAATCTTTCAATATCTTCCTTTTTGCCACAATTGTGTACTTATTCTATTATTTCATTTCTTCCTTTTGATTGCCAGCTCTCGAACCCGATCCATCGCTGTTGACTTCTTATGGATTGATACAGTTGTTGCTATCGTGCTGTCTCTTTGATCTGAGACTTGGCCCAAAGGCTTTAGCCTGGTTCCGCAACCATGGATGAGACAGGCCCGGCACATTCATGGCTCCCAAATTTCATGCGGAAGCCTAAGTCGCGGACGTTCTCCTCGGATGACACTCCCCCAAATGAGACTTCGACATTATTGCCTAGGGGAACAAAAGACTCTGAGCAACCGGAGGAGCCAGAAAACGGGGAGATCTACGAGCTTCTCGATCCTCTCAGTGGGTCAAAATCGCCATGGAGAGCGGTTCTGAACGAGTTCAAGATTCTACTGAAAGGTTCCATACCAGTGATCTTGGCCTACACACTGCAAAACTCGCTACAAACGATCTCAGTTGTAATAGTAGGCCGCGGATCGCCCGAGGATTTGGCAACTGCGGCCTTCTCGTATATGTTTGCTATGAGTACAGCCTGGCTTATTGCGTTGGGCGGAACAACCGCATTGGATACTCTATGCTCATCTGCTTTTACCGGAAGCAACGACCCGCATAATCTTGGCGTTCTCCTCCAAAGAGCTTTTATCATCTTAGGGGGGTTCTATATTCCCGTAGCAATACTCTGGTTCTTTTCTGAGCCGGTATTCAAGGCTTTGGGACAAGGTGATCAACTCTCACATGATAGCGCCAGGTTTCTGTGGTGTCTCATACCTGGTGGCTTGGGCTACATATACTTTGAGTGCATGAAGAAGTATTTACAGGCGCAAGGTAGATTCCACTCCGATCAAGACTATTGTCCCATGGTGCTAATTTGTCCAGAAATCATGCGACCAGGAACCTATGTTCTACTGATCACCTCACCAATAAATGCTGGTCTAAATTTCCTTTTCGTTTACACGTTCAAAATGGGCTTGCTCGGAGCACCGGTAGCAACCGGCGTCTCTTACTGGCTATCCTTTCTTCTTCTACTCGCATATGCACGTTACGTCAAAGGCTGGGAGTCTTGGGGTGGATGGTCCCGAAGATGCCTGCACCACATGGGGCCGTTTGCCCGGCTTGCCACTCTCGGAATCATCCATGTCGGCACGGAATGGTGGGCGTTTGAGATCGTGGCCCTGGCGGCTGGCCGACTTGGCACGATCCCTTTGGCTGCTCAAAGCGTCATCATGACTTCAGACCAGGTCATGAACACCATTCCCTTTGGCGTTGGGGTAGCAGCTAGCGCGCGAGTGGGTAACCTGCTGGGTGCGAGAGACGGCAAAGGGGCGGCGAGAGCAGCAAATACCGCAGCTTGGCTGAGTATGATCTTGGGGACTGTGGTCCTGATTATCCTGATGGGTAGCAAGGATCACTTCGCCAAGATCTTCAACGACGATGTTGATGTTGTCAAACTGACCGCGGAAGTTCTACCCTTCGTCGCTCTGTTCCAAATCGCAGACGGCCTCAATGGAAGCTGTGGCGGCAGCTTACGCGGCATGGGCCGACAGCACATCGGAGCGGCGGTCAATATTATTAGCTACTACTGCGGTGCCCTTCCACTAGGAATCTGGCTTGCATTCCACGGATGGGGTCTGAAAGGATTATGGGTGGGACAGTGCATTGCTCTGTACCTGGTTGGAATCCTCGAGTGGATCATCGTTGCGTTCAGTAACTGGGATCATCAGGTCAAAAAGGCGTTTGAAAGGATGGACGAAGGGGATAGGACGGAGAATGGGATTCCGCCTCCTTCCGATGGTGACGCTCGTTGATACTGTACAAGCATATTGTACATTTATGAGTTACGGACGATAGACTACGACGTTTCTTTTAGATTTCATTGTATATAGGTATATAGACGTATCTAGAACTCAGCGACGTAAAGGATAGGCTCAATTCTGCGTTCTCCTCAGTCGCGTCTAGCACAACATATACTCGTTATCATTATCATCCCCAAAGGAAACAGCAGATGCTCCCAAGTACCTTATGAGGCGCAGGCGAGATGCAAGTTTCAAATGCACGTCGGGCATGATCAGTTATTCCCAGTTCCCACATGCTTCAGGAAACCAGTTACGAGATGGAATGTAAAGTACGGTGTGCCGATATCTACCCTAAATATTGTATGTATTAGTATAATAATATACTTTTACTCTACTCCGCGGTCTTGGCGCTTTTCCCGATATTTGCCACTTAAGTGTAAGGTCATGGCTACCTTTTATCTATCAACAATTACCTACTTTATCTTTATCGGCGAGCGGCAGCAGGATGATGATTGATGACATGTCAATCGACCCCTATAAGCTTTCCTTCTACCTTCTAGCTTTCAGTAGGCATGTGATTCCAGGTACAATCGACCGGGCTGCTTACTTCCTCCTGCGAATGGCGGGGCGTGTAAAGTTACCTTTCCCGTCTCCATCTCCGTTGAGGCTGTCGTTGTTTGCATTTGCTATAACTAAGTATCTAGAGTACTGCTGCTGTTTCTTGCCTATTGGCATAGACTTGTCTATCTAGCATCTCATCTCAATTCAATCACTTACTACCATGTTGCTCAATTCCCTTTGCTTCCTTGCCTGTGCTGCACTTGCTACCGCTCACCCCGACCACGACCAAAAGCCAATCGCTGGTCCTCACAAGAGCTTATGGTACAATACCAGGAGACCAATCCCAGGTGATGGTGGAACTCAGGTACTTCTTACCATCTCGATGGCCATTGACTGTAGCTGATCTTGCGAGACAGGCCGATGCCGTCTTCTCAGGCATCTCGACATTTGGCCGTCTCCCATACTGGCCCTGCCTCGCGGATGACAGCGAGAAATACGATATTGCCTTCCTAGGTACCTACCCTTCATCTTCTACCTTGTCCACCGCGCAAGCACTGACTCAATCATCCAGGAGCGCCCTTTGACACCGGAACCTCCTACCGTCCAGGCGCACGTTTCGGTCCTAATGGCATCAGACAAGGTTCTCGCCGTCTCAATCTCTAGTACGTCCAACTTTCTGACACCAAGGGCTTACGATTGCACGAATGGCAAGGCTCACGCAAAGTGCGATTCAGCGGCGGCTATAACGTCCCCCTCGACGCCAACCCTTTCAATAGTTGGGCCACGGTGATCGATTGCGGAGATATACCCGTTACATCGTGCGTCTCTACTTCCCAAACAACCAGTGAGGATGAACCGAACACTGACTTATCCCCAGCTACGACAATGCCTATGCAATCCAACAAATCGAAGAAGGTCACAATAGCCTCCTCATGCGCGCACCGGCCACAAATGCAAAAGAGATCGGCCCTGCAAAGGACAAAAAGACCCTGCCCCGCATCATAACCCTCGGCGGCGACCACACCATCACGCTCCCTCTCCTGCGCTCCATCAACAAAGCCTACGGTCCCATCAGCGTCATACATTTCGACTCTCACCTCGACACCTGGAAGCCCAAAGTCTTCGGCGGAGCCCCTACGCTTCAAGCCTCTATAAACCACGGCACATATTTCTACCACGCGCACGGAGAGGGATTGTTGGCGAACGATACGAACATACACGCGGGGATCCGCACGACGTTGAGCGGGTTGAGCGACTACGACAATGATGGATACTGCGGGTTCGAGATTGTGGAGGCGAGGGAAATCGATACGATCGGGACGGGTGGGATCATCAAGAAGATCCGAGAGCGAGTCGGCACGGAGAAACCAGTGTATCTGAGCATCGACATCGACACCTTGGACCCAGCATGTACGTCCCCTCCCTCCCCTCCCTCCCCCGCCAACCTTCTCTTCCCCCCCAAACTGACACATATTCCAACAGTCGCCCCCGCAACCGGCACGCCCGAAACCGGCGGCTGGACGACGCGCGAACTGCGCACGATCATCCGCGGGCTGGAAGGCGTCAACTTCGTCGCGGCCGACATTGTCGAGGTGGCGCCGGCGTACGACACCAACGCGGAGCACACGACCATGGCGGCGGCGGACACCCTGTTCGAGGTCATGGGTCTTATGGTGAAGAGGGGGCCGATGAGCGTGATGGGGAAGGGCGAGGGGCGGGGCGACGGGGAGAAGGATTCGGTGAGGGGGAAGAAGGAGGAGTTGTGAGGAGAAGGAGGGGGTTTAGGAAGTTGGGAACGTACAACGGATGAGATGTGATGGGAATGACATGGATGGGATATCTTTCAAGAATAGCTGGGATGAGTGGAAGATACTCGGACCCAGTGAATGATATATGTAGCGCCGACGGACAGGTCATATAGATGAGAAGCAACATGGCTGTATGGAATCCTATCGAGTACATCGCAGCAGGCTTTGTAGGACCGTTATTGGGCTTTTCCAACGTCGACGGAGCTGGACTGGGGTTTCATGTCAAAGTCTTGTGATATTGCGATGACAAGGCTCTATTGATGCTGGGTGTAGTGACCGGGCGCTCGAATCGCCTTGGCAAGAAGAGGTCTATGTAAGGTCGTAAAGGTTTGGGTCGGCGGGACGCTGGCCAGGATGAGACGATAAGAAATGTGGAGAGGCACGGCGAACTTGGAACCAGTATTGAGCAGGGTAGGATATGCCGATGATCGATTGTGCAGTCTAGAAGCCTATGAAAACCCGCTGAAATACTCCTAGAGAAATATTGCCTTCCTGATTATTGATCCTCGACCGGAAGCACACCGCGTGTGCAAGCTCTTCGAGCCATTGTAGTGGTACAGAACCGAGAGGTGGAAGGAAAGATCCGATGTGTATATGAAGCCTGCTCCTTCGCATGCATAACACCCCCTCCTTGACAATCTATTTCTTCCTCGATATCAGGCGAGCTGTGGCCTTTGGTGTTTGGTAGCTCACTGCAACACTGATCAGCAAGACATTGGCTTGAACTCTTGAAAGATACTTACGGAGATCTCGTCCATGCCAATCTCCTCTCCATTCGTAGCTGGTGCAGCAGCGCCGTTCATAGTAGCGGCGGCATCTGTGGTGGCCGCTGTACCATTTGCAGCATTGGCGTCGAAGTAGTCAACCATTTCTGCGTCAAGCTCATCTGCAGTCTTCGCTTTGGGACGTCCGGCATTGCGGCCACGACGTGCGCCACGTCCTCCGACTCGTCCTCCACGAGTAGCTGTTCCATTGGTCGCAGGCTTTGGGGCAGCGGACTTTGGCTGGCTCTTGCCTTGTCTGTTCTTAATTAGCACAATCTTCGGCATTCGTCGGCGCGTTACCATTGAGGCTTACGTTACGCGATCGTCCAATCCTTTGACAGGAACTGCTGCGGCTATGGATGCATTGAGGACGACCTCAATCTTCATCGATGTTAGCAAATGATCCATGAGCAGGGCTGCTTGAGCGAGCTTTACCTTCATGGGACGCTTGTCGACCAACATTCCGTTGAGTTGAATGAGAGCGTCGTTGGCGCTGGCTGATTTGCTGAAGACGATAGTTGCAATGCCGCGGCTCACACCGTTAGGTCCATAGGTGAGCATGGCTTTCTTGACATGGCCAACGGACTTGCTGAAATACTCCTATAGTAAGAAATTGGGTATCGAGTCAGTTCACTGGTATGCCGTCAAAAGTTGTTTAAAAGGTACGGCAGAACGGCGAGCGAGCCCAAGGAGAGACATCTATGGAGAGCCAAAACCAGTCAAACGGACCCTTGCTATCAGAGCATCAGCGAGCAGCAGCAAGGATTAGCAATACTAGTAGACACTAGGTCAGATTCTTGTCCAGGTCGAGGTTCAGGAAGCCATCGGGTTTGGTCATCGTAGGAGTCTCCGTCCGTCGTCTTCACGTACCGGTCGCCCGACGAATGGCCTGTTCTACCGTAAAAGTGGCCCGTACTCGGACTCGAGGACACTCTTATAATATGCGTTGACCATATCCGTCGCGCCACGAAAAGCCCATCAGCGGCGTTGAAGGTCTTTAAAGCGGGATCAGGGTAGCGGTTGTGGTGTCGAAAATGAGAGCAGTGATTCAGGTAGCTATGAAAGAACGTCTCAGCTCGACGCTGCGATGAACCGTAAATAGCTACCCATCCGCGTGTCAAGTTTCTCGGAGGCTCGAGTATGTTGTCTAAAGAAGCGAGGGTGTCAGGCCAACATATCAAGCCTAATGGCTTCATGGGCCTTGGAAGACGTGTCCGCGGTTTCGAAGAGATTCAAATTGCATATCCCGGATACTGAGGTTCCATGGGCTGTTTTGCTCTTGCTGCTTTGCTCGCTGATGCTCGCGCCATATGAATCACACATTGTACAAGATTGGATATTCTGCACATTCACTTTCCCAATAGCGACATCATCTCTCTCCACCGTCTTTTGCCCTGGAGCTGGTGTAGTCTGTTTGCCAGACAGAGCATACATCGCAGCGATATTCGGTGCAAGACTTTGGTGTGAGCTCGACTTCTCATCGCTTTGCGTCATGCTTCACGAAAAAGCGAGCTAAAGCCGATGGAAGGAGTAGAGTATGAACCTCGCCTTCTTGACATGCTGTCCAACGGGGTACGAGCTCACGCTCAAAGGAAAATGGGTCGCTCCACGAATGATCGAAAAGGGCCGCAATAATCGAGTATCATAGAAGTGCCGGCGCAAAAAGTCCGACAGATGGTGGCCTCAGGTTCAACATACCTTGATCTGGAACTCATTCACATCGGAGGGCTAGAAGTTTCAGTTACTGTGGCACGATGAGGTCTTCAAGGACTCTTACCAAGTTGCTCACGATGATCTTCGACTCTCCACTCCCTGAAGCTGGACCATTTGGAACTGCGCCCTTTGCAGGTGCCGTCTTAGCACCTCTTGTGTTCTTCTGGATGCCTCCTACGGGAGCCGCTGTGGCTGCTTTCGTCGTTCCATTTCCTGCGCGACGACCTCCGCGTCCACGACGGCCTGCGGTCTTGCGACGGGTGCTGAGGATCTCATCAAGGCTCTGGTCTAATTTTCCTGACATACTGAGATGATGGTAGTGCGACTTGATTGAGTGATTGAGGGTTGGCTTCGGCTGGTGGAGAGGTAAGGATTAGGATAGCTCCTTCTCGGGCAGGGAAGGCTGAAGGTAGGCTCAAGCGAGTCCTTGATGGCAAGGTCTTGATTTGTGACCTGTGAAGCAGCTGTGGATGATGTGCTTACAAGAGCAAGGAACCGGTGATGGTGAAGACGAATGGTCTGATGGCTTAAATAGTATTTGTTTGATGTGCTGGCTGTTGGTGGTGTTGAGATGTGGCTGGCAGGCAGGGTTTTGACACGAAGCGGCTCGAGTGAATTAGAGCAAGTGAATATTGAGTCCAGGTGTAGTGATGAACGTTCAAAATGATGATGTGATGACGGTAAGTCAACAAAGTGTGTTGTTGCTGAAAGACGGAAAGGAGGGAGGACGAAGGCAAGAAATCGCAGCCGCGCTAAAACCCTACGGCCTAGGCCCAATGCGGCTCTACAGGGGGAAGCGCAAGGAAACCGTGAATGAAGTGAATGGTAATGGCTTCATGTGCAGTGATCGATGGATTTTCACAGCTACATCAGTGACTAATTGCATACACTTGCATACAGTGAAAGACGCCCCCTGTCCTAGTGTAATAACGGCACAACACCGAAGGTCTCGGATTTTGCCTCATATTCTCTAACGCCTGAACGTCCTGACGGCCCATTTTCCATATTCTTGTCGGCATATCCAGTGCTTCGCCCAACGGCGTACAAGTGCATCATTTCTTCAGCAGGCCGAGAACTTTATCAGCTCTTCAAGGCCTCCAACCTCCCCCGCATCTGCTCCAGCGTAGCCTCTTGGTCCTCCAAGTCTTCTTCTTCGGCTGGCTCCTCTTCCACAGGCTTCTGGTCCACCTTGGCCGCGCCCTGTTTACCCTGTAGTATCTCCCCAAGCACCTTATCCACCTCAGCCTCCGCTTCCTCATCTTCACCCTCCAGCAGGTCATCATCCGGGAGACTATCCCCCACCATCTCCTCAATGATACCCGCCTTCATCAGCTCCTGCGACAGCTCCCTCATCGTTCCTGTAAGCTCTGGTAGTCGCACCAAAGAATTCACATCTTTCATTATCCCCGTAGAAGCCTTAATGCTTCCCTCAATCTTGCGGACCGAGAACGCCTCATTCACCTGCATATGCACACTCTGTAGCTGCGCCTTACTCGTAGCAAGCCGATTGCTCTGCTTCCGTATCCTGATCATCTCTTTCGCAAATGTGCGGGTCTCCAGGGCTGCCTGTTTGGCTTGGGAGGGGTTTCTCTGGCCTCGTTTCGAGGCTTGGAGGATGTATTGGCGGGTCTTCTGGTCTAGCTGCTTGAGCTGAAGTATGTCACGATCCAATTTACGGGTGTTGGCTCGTATGAGGCCGTTACACTTCCGCATCTGCTAGAGGTCAGTGCTGTGCTTCCTTTGCTCTTGGCGGGGTGACTGACCTGCGCTGCTGGGTCGGGCTTGAAGAAGACAGCTTTGATTGATTCCATGATATCGAGAGCGAGTGGACACTAGATAGTTGTGATCCCCTTATCTCAGGCCCATGTTGTTGTGTTTTGTATAGAGTATGCAGCTTCAAAAGCTTCTTTCCCAGGATGACGCCCCCCACTAGGCCAAAAGCCACGAGCTCTGGAATGTCTTTGCTTAGGCGCGTAAGTTATTCGATGAAGCCATCGATTGCCTCTTCTGTGAACTCAGCGATCTCTGTATCTGGCCTACGATGCACGAATTGGGAGCTCCGCATAGATGTTGCTTCTACCAATTTCTATCAAGATCTTCAGCCTTGTGAGCCGCGCTAGACTTCACTTTCTTTCAAACGATCTTCATTTTCTACATCAACTTTTGCTATACAACCCACTCTAAGCAACTGCTATCAATATTTCCTAGCATCGACATCACCTTAGACTGACCCGTCTTTACCTTGACAATGTCTGAAACCAAGCAGACCACACCAGAGGGTGAGCAGCTACCGCACAAACAACCTTGACACAAAATCGTAGCCTCTCTGACCAAATGGCTAACCATCTCCTCTACTCGCAGTCCTTTGGGCTCAGCGCTCTTCCGCCTCTGACCCTGAGCGCAACTACGTTTTACTCACCATATCTGCCCCTGATGTCCCCGACAAATCATTCGAAGTCGACCTGAAGCCCACATCCCTAACCTTCACTGGCCACTCCGACTCCAAAAAAACCACCTACCACGTCAAGCTAGAATTCTTTGCCGAGATCGACGTTGAAAACAGCAAGACGCATCACACCTCGCGAGATGTGGAGTTTGTGCTTAGGAAGAAGGAAAACAAGGCGGAGTATTGGCCAAGGTTGTTGAAAGAGAGCAAGAAGGTGCACTTCTTGAAGACCAACTTTGATAAGGTAGGCACTCCTCAGAGAGTACAGGGAAAAGGGATCAAGTCTGCTGACCGAGGTCTTTGTAGTGGGTTGATGAGGACGAGCAAGATGCCGCGCCTGAAGACGATATGGGAGGCATGGGCGGTATGGGAGGTGGCATGCCAGGTATGGAGGGCATGGGCGGAATGGGTGGCATGGGTGGCATGGGCGGCATGGGCGGTGATGGAGGCTTTGGTGGCATCGGTAAGTCTGCGAGCCTTCCCGAATTACACACAAATACTAATCAAGCCAGATTTCTCAAAGCTCGGCGGTGGCGCAGGCGGCATGCCAGACATGCCAGACATGGGCGACCTCGGAGACGACGCTGAAGAAGGTGGTGATGACGACGAGGAGATGCCCGAGCTCGAAGACGAAGCGGAAGGCGAGGAGGGAAAGGGCAAAGGCAAGGAGGCTGCAGAGCCTGCCACGAGCGCCAAGATCGAAGAGGTGTCTTAGATCTTGAGATCTAGTACATAGCGAGCAGATTGGCCACATTGCAAGGCGGTATCTTGAGGGAAATGACACTGGTTGCCAATGCTGGGTAATGCTACGATGATAACGCACTAGATAGACCTTGTACTTCAGCGGTGCCTGCTAAAAGCGATAGAGCCTCTCGAGCTTACATCTTTATCGTGTGACTCTACTGCCACGCGTTGCTTCGCGGTGCGGTGCCACCGGTCTGCTGCTTTACTTCATGTGGCTCTCTGGGAACATACCAGCCTGGCAGGCTGCTGTCCATGGCTAACAGTATCGTCTCCACGAATACATATGACTTCCAACCGTCACCGTTCCCTACGTTTTCTATCCTATATCCAAAGAACCAAACGTTTGGTTTTCTCGTACATCTAGGTGCAACAGATGGTGTGTACCAATCAATAATATATATAACATCTTACCAATCCCCCACCCATGTCCAACTCCCTTATCTAGACCTAAACACGTCCAATGATGTTCTCGGACACCCAAATCTCCTATTCATTCAATATGATTAGACTGCTTGCTGAGCCCATACTCATCCGAGCTCTCATTCCCCTGCCTATCTCTCAACATATTCGCGGCTCCAGTCTCAATCATACCCTGCATCACGCGCAGAGTCAGCTTTGATTCCCCCGTACCGCATCCAAAGAAGGGGAAAGCGACTCACAGTCCTGGTAATATGCCTCTGCAATCCGTCCTCCCCTTCTTCATGCACCGCATGCCCCTTCCCAATCTTACTCAAACTATCCCGCATCAAAAACTCATAGTACCCCGTCGCGAACAGCGTCGCAGGCACATTGACCAGAATGGCGATCCAGCTGTAGTTCATGTAACTAAAAGCCTCTCCACCAAAGAATATAGCGGCCACGATTCTCGTTCCAAGATCACGAGCGAGGTTTGTAGAGATGGAGATGTCTGCGAAGCCCCAGACCATGGTAGCGTATGCAAGACCGATAGCGAAGGGAGCGCCGGCGGGAGAGACGAAGGGATTCGCCGGGTCGAGACAGGCCCAGATCACGATGCCGATGTAGGAGTCGACGAAGAATTCGGTCATGAAGAGGTAGCCGAGATTTCTGGAGGTGGCAGTGTGTAAGTAAAGCTCTTCTCTGCGTAAGGTTTAGGACGAAGTAGGAACAACGAAAATAAGATCCACCTACGTCTGATTGGGATTTGGGAATGTGCACAGAATGCTTGCCGGTCCTCCATTGTAAACCAACGGCCGTCCGGCAGCCAAGGTTGCTGCCTTGAATTCTTGGATCTCCGGCCTATGCGAAGTTGGAGTCAGCATTGCGCCTTCGAGCCCAAAATCCAAATTATGAGCAAAGGTCTCATGAGGGAAAAGACCCTTTCACTCCGCAATCTGTCGTATCCCAATCCCGATTTTGAATAGGAAAGCTTCACTCCGAAGTACGTACCAGTACATGCCCATAAGCAGCATTCCTGCGATGAATGCTCCAAAGATCTGAGAGAATATATAATAAGGTACTTTTTTCCAAGGGAAGCCCTGCCAGACGGCGAAGCAAATTGTGATGGCAGGATTGAAGTGACCACCCGATGTCGAGGCACAGGTGATGATAGCAAAAGCGATACCGATTGCAAAGCCCCAGCCAATTTGAAAGATACTGCCGAAGGCTGTGGGATTGGGTTGGGCGGCATTAATGTAGAAGGAAGTGATGGCTGCTATTCCAGGAAAGCTGGTGCGCTATTAGTCTCTTCGCCTTGTCATAATTTGCAGAAAGCACTCACACATAGAAGAAGACTCCTGTAGCTTCTGCCATGCACTCTCGGAGCCAACGTGGTCTAAGGTATCTCAATATACACCGGGCAGCGTGGCATTGAAACTTATTTACCGAGCGTGCTCGAAATCGAGCTTTCTTTGCGATACTGGCTTCCCAGCAACGACATTTCGAGACAAATGCTGCTGAACGGCTTCGGTTGCACCCAATTCCACTATTTCAAGGTCAGTATACACTTATTCCCATTGCATATGTTCCAACGTACAGTCATTAGTCTGCAATCTATGCATGTTATTTGATGTCATCTTGCAATCGAGCGTGGTGGTTCTATATAAACGTATGAAAGCTCATGAAAGAAACAATAGAACGGAGGAAACAAGATAGCAATGGTGGAGGCAGAGAGAGGTTGGAGAAGGTAAAGGAGACAAGTCGAAGCCGCCCCTCTCGATTCGAGCCATTCCCAGTGCTGCCGAGCTCCATTGAGATTGGTTATCGTTCTAGTCATGATCTAACACTTAGCCAGCGGGTTAAATTTTCGGCAACGGCATGGATATTTGCCTCGTGTGTGAGGTGTGCATACGCATGCGCCTTTGCCATGAAAGGAAATGATCAGGCCTTTAAAAGCAGCACAGTAAACGTCAAGAGAGCCATGAGAGGTACAATACGTCTGAGTTTCAGCAGCGCCGTTGATACTATCAGCATCAGCGCGCACTCGCCCTGGAAGTCAACGGTGTCGGAGAATTTCAACTTATCACCCCACGTCTTCCCCAGTCGGCACTTCTCCAGAAGCGCATGCTGCCTCGGCATCCGTAAAAGTCTCTCCACATTTATCAAAGTCAATCCGTGCACTAAGGTAAAGAGTAAAGGCGCGGGAATGCCGTCAATTAACGCTTGGCGATCTCTCCACAAGGATTTCTGCGGCTAGTATCTCAACGTAACGACTCAACTCTGAGATGGCTGGCGTACTTGAATCGAAAGGGGTGATGCATACCTCAATTGCTGCATGGTGCTATTGCCACTGCAACCGTAGGGCAGACTTCTCTTATGCTCCGTCAAAAACCCTTGGAGCTCTACAGCTTCCCAATGAATTGGTCGACTTCCAGTTCATGCAGGGTCTGAGCCTACAGATGCATCTTCGCCCGTCTCTCACTCGAGCAAACCATTCGTCACTTCTCCCAGTCTCTTGATATCTGATAAAGAGAAGCACAACTTCTCAGCAATTGCTGCGTGAAAACATCAGCCACCGCCGAAAACGAGTTTCAATCTTATCACGGAATCGCGATAATACCTTGAGGACTCATTGGTGACTCCATCTCTTCCCGAGGTTTCAGAGAAAGCCTCTCGGCTCACAAATTCTCGCCGTGAAGGAAGCTCACACACGGTAGAACGATTCCAGTAATGGAAGAGGTCAATACAAATACAACAGTCTCAAGTCAACGCCCGAAGACGGGCATGTAGCTTCTAAATCGGCGCTTGTATTGCAGCAAGGATATACGACAAAGGTTGCCAGAGATGGCAAGTACAAGAATGCAGTCACGGAAATTTTCTTCTGTAGCTATTGGGAAAATGAATGAGTCTGTACCCTCCAAGCTCCTGGAATCCTATCAATGGCTCGGGAAGCCGATCCGTCTGCATGAGCAACATTGGGATTCTTGGGATTGGACAACAGGTACTGGTACTCTACCTTACTTGATCCGAGTCGACGCTTCTCCTGCAACCTCATTCCTTCCCGCGATCACGATGTCTCGCATACCCTGCCTCAATAGTGACCAATGCAGAGAAGATATAGCATGTGACATAACTCATCACACCACAGCCAACGGGACTTTTCAAAGTCCCTCTGCTCTGGCTTGCACCAATGGCAGCTGTCAAAGGTGCATAAAGAATCATTAGCCTGCAGACGAGAATTCACAAGCTCCTTCACACTAACCACCGCCGGCTGTGCATTTTTGGAAAGCCTTTCACTCGGCCGAGCTACTATAGATAACCGGAAACACATTCTCCGTTTGTTATTTGAGGAAGTAAACGAAAATCGTCAACAACCTCATCGTCGTCGACAACCAATGTAGATCGCTTGGTCAGCGATACTAGGCATGAAAATTTCTTCAAGATCACTGTGACTCACTTCCTCTTCCTTCCATCCTCCACCTCATCATCCTCAACACCCACCACCATCATCCATCTCGTTGCTGTTGACCGAGCCGTCTCCCGCCACAAGAACATCATCTAGCTTCCGCTCCTTCGCTCTAAAACACTGTCTTTTACCTTGAACATATTCCTCTCAAGTCACCCAAGCGCGTGCCAGCATGAAGGGACTCATGGCTTTCATCAAGGAGGTGGCCTTGATGGCTTTCCTTCCGATCCTCTTGATCTCGCAAACCATCTTGCCTGTTGTCCAGGCATGCATGACCAATTCCCAGTTCTGGGTCACCTTCTTTGGCTTCATGCTCCCATCTTACATGCTCATCGTCGCTCACTTTCGCTACCAGCGCGTCAACATGATCAAGAAGCGCTATGGCTTCACGAATGACCTCGGATCCTACAAGGACATGACGCCAGACGAGTCTCAGGCTGTCCTCAAAAACCTCGCGGAATGGGACTTTCCCTTCGTCTTCGAATTTGGTTGGATCTCGGAATTCTTCAAGGTACGTGCTTACTGCAGAGTTCACGGGTGCATTCCCTTCAATCGCATGCATAAACTTTCGCTTGTCCCTACCTCCCGTGCAAGCTTATTTGGAATATTCCCCGAGATCGATGCATCTGCAATCTTCCTCCTTTCTCCGAGTCACCCACCTTCACGTGATCTTTTCCTTCTCCCTTATGTCTGGCTATCACCCTGTTGTACTTCATCATCTCGATTGATGACACTTACATTTCTCCAATCGCATCTCGAGTCCAGAATGTTAGCCGAGGAATTTCCTCTTTCACTATTCTCTGGCCTCTCCGAGCTTCTCCTTGGATCTCGCTCTCCCCGAAATCCTTAGCAAGCTCATGCACATTCCCGGGCATCTCATCCATGCACTTACACATCTCATCGTCTTCCGACCAATCAAAGCTTTGCTGACACCCGACTTCACAGACTGCAACTGCGCCCTGCCTATCCAAGGTCATCGTCAATTCTGGCCACTTCACGAGCACGGACCAGATGATCAGCCACGGTAGACAGCAAGAAACCGTCTGTCTCATGACACAGATGCAGGTTCAGCCCTTACATTCGAGAGAGCATGCTCTATCCATTGCGCG